CTGACGCAACGAGAAGGGTAACGCTGTAAGTTCTAGACTACGCTCTATTTCTGAGAGCTTTCCGGTGGCTTTTGTGTCCAGTATTTGGCTTCCACTCGAACAGGGGGTGAACACGGTCACGTGGACAGACGTTTAAACGTAGGCGGTGGGTTGACCCCGACACGCGACGGCAGTGGGCATGTTGCCTGCGTTACATACGTGCTTCCTCGGGCCGGTTCTTGCGGAGAGCTTGGTGCTTCAAATCCTCTCGGGAAGATTCCGAATATCGTAATCCAGTGACTCGATTGTCAGTAGTGATGTAGACCCATAGCAGTGATTATTGCCGCGGTTCATTGGTGGCCTACGTTTTCAAGACACGCACCAACCTACACGACCACGAACCTGGCATCAACCATTCGCCACCAAGCTTGTATCCTGCGTCCGCACCACTCGGAATACCCCCCCCTCGCCTCTCTTCTATCGCTACCGCCGCCGCTTCCATGCGCCGCTTCGTCTTCCGCCACATGGCGGAGATATTTATCCAGCTGCCGGGTACTGCCGCCGGCACGAGAACGCCGGCGACCGCTGCCCCTCCTTCGCGTCGCCGTATCAGCCTCGGTTTTGGCGCTCGAGTAACGACCCCCAGCACGGTTGGTAGTGCCATGTCGGGCGATGTTCCTGTTCGCGATGAGTCTTCGAACATGGCGTTGTATCTGCCCTCATTCGTGCGTTTGCGAGGTACCGATCGGTACCGATTGGCGGTTGTTTGGATTAATCAGTAGGCCTCTTCCGAGCAGACTAAATATTCCTGCCGCATGCTTTGCTACAATATCGAGTCGGGAGTGCGCAGGGTAACAAACTATGAAAGAAACAATGTGGGTGTCAAACTCTGTGTCTGCTTGGTCAAACATTGCACGTGAGGAGCACGTGGTACAACGTGCTCTGCTTCTCTCACTTGAACGGCCGCGAGGTGGTGGGCAGCGACAGGGCTTGTCCACGGAGCGGCGACGATTGCCCTCCGCGAAGACCTCGGCTTGCGCGCGAACACGCTTCGCCACGGCCTTCCTCGTTGCCCCTTCCACCCGGAACGGGATACGGAAGAATGTGGAATGTAGGCTGTTGATGCTGCCGTTGCCGTCGTTCGTTGCGTACCTGCACGCTGGTCATGAGCTGATAGCGTGTATGATACTTCTGCCGTCCGTACACAGCTGTAACTATCCCCACCAACACCATCGCCGTCAGGGTCGCCGCGGCTGGTAGCCCAGGCCTGATCGGACGAAACACTGCTGAAGAGGCTCTCTCGAACCCTAACTTCCTCTGGTGACGACATGATCTACAGATCTGTGCGCTTGTAATGTTCACTCCCCTCCGGCAGTGCGTCGATCAACGCGCCGGCCGCGGCTTTCGTCGCGGAGGTTACGACCGCCCTCTGCGCTTTCAATGTTCACTCCCCTCCGGCAGTGCGACGGTCAACGCGCCGGCCGCGGCTTTCGTCGCCGAGGTTACGACCGCCCTCTGTGCAGTGCTCGCCGGCCTTCCAACAACGCAACGCCCCACTGGGAGTTAGTTCCGCCGTCTTATCTTTGCCTTGTGAAACAAAGTACAGCCATAGAGAACATAGAGCGACAGCAGCGTGGTGATCGAGCGCGGGCGTTCGCGCGCGTGACCATATTTTACTCGCTGCGCTTGTTTTTCGCCGCCGCAGCCGTTTCGTTTTTCTACCCCACGGAGCCCCCTCCCGCACCCCCCTCCTCCTTGGGTTCGACTACGACGACACCACGAGCACGCGAGTTGACATTTTCCAATACACACAGCCAAACATGTTTGGTTGACTCGTGTTTTTGGCCCCAAAGAGCGAGAGCCAGGGCTCGGAGGGCGCAGGACTAGCAGTCCGTAGGCGTTCTCTTCGATCGTGTGGTGAAAAGGCGTGCGAGTGGAGAGGGGCAGAGCGCGCGATTAGCCGAAAAGTGTTCACCTGTCGACGAGACGGGAGGTGAGTGAGTTTTAAGTAGATGCAGCGAGCAGCCTTACACAGAGTAGACAGTAGCCACCGCGACCCCTTTTTTTTAGTGGAGCGGCAGCATCTGCCTGGCATATTCGCTTGGAGAATGATACGGATACACGTGCGCTGGGGGTTGGCTTAGGATTTCGACCCACCAGGCTCGTAGGCCATGCATATTTCTGCTACGTATCATCGTCGTTCGCTGCCCTTCACCATTTCACCCAACCCCCCCTAACCCTTCGCGCCATGTACTGCTGCACCTGTTTAGAGAGCTCTCTCTCAACGCGCCCCTTTGTTGCTCCGTGTGGATTTGTGTGCGTGTCATGTTGATGTGCGAGATCAGCAATGTTTATCTTTGGGACACTTGTTACATGTAGTTGGTGGAGGTCTTGTACCTCACTCTGAGCGCGGTTGATCGGCGAATCAGACGCAATTCCTAATAGTCTCGTTTTGAAATGAATCCATATCTTCACCCACTGACGGCGAGGAGGTTATTTAGTTACCCCGACTGGCGCCGTTGTCACAAGTTCTCATTCAGTTCTGTAGATTTTTATTTGACGCCGGGCATACGTATGTAGAGCAAGGTCTGCATAACCTTCCTGCTGTGCTTGGCACGGACTGCCTGCTCTATTCGCAAGTCTCTTGTCTTTCCCAGCACATCAGACGCAACAATATGCTGCGATTCCACTCTGTAGCTCCGTAGGCTACTACGTTGCCCATGAGTATGACAGATGGCTTGCTGCCGAAGCGGTGGCGAGTTGTTTCTTTCCGCGTGGGACAAGGTTAATGCGCGCACGCAAGTCAAGCGAGATCTATCTACATACCGGCTTTTGTCCCTCCAGTGCACGGTGGACAGACTGCTGCCGTGTGTCGGCGGTCAGCAAGCTGTATGCAAACTGCCTTGCGCGGTCGATCGTTGTCTTGTAGACCCGGACAACCAATCTTGGTTTTGACTTCTTTTGAAAACCAACGATAAAGCTACATCATTGCAACCATGCATGAGATACGAAAACCAGTTGCGCAGAAAGCTGCGGCCACGAATAAGTCGGCGGCTGTTGCACGGAGCAGCGGCCTCCACTAGCATATCACGCAGTCCACCTCCGCACACCTTCTCTCAAAACCTAACAAACAAGCCAACCAAATACTACGACGTTGATTTCTACGGGCCAACGTTGACACTATGCCCGAGAGACAATCGGACGTTTCTTTTGTTCTCGGTCTCCCATGCTCTCCTTATCATGTATTCGTCGGACGGACGCAACAAACGAAGTCACCCGGCTGATGTACTCCCCGCAGCTCTTCGTAGCTAGCGTATTCGACACAAGATAACACATCCCCTGGACCGATTGTCAAAGCCCGACTACTCCACGACGAAGAAGAAACGTAAACGGAACGGTACATTTTCGGCAAGCTCTAGATGAGACGGCTTCAACGCCCCCGTTTTTCGGCGCTGTGACTCCTTCTGCTGTTGAGAACGCGAGCTTTGAAAATCGGTCCAGGATGTGTGTTGTCTTGAGTCGTACTTCGTATACGGTAGTTGGTTCCTGGAAAACCTACTAGTGGCCAGGGTCACGGGTTCGAATCCCGGCGCAAACGAGCTTTTCTTGCAAAGTGAGTTGCGCTCTCGCTTCCGGTCCTGGTCTGGGTGGAAAGCGCTAGTACGTTTTTACACAGAGGGAAGACAGCAGTGCTGCACTCTTCTCGCATTAAGAATCGAACACAAAGTACCGCAAGAGGGGCCGGGCGTCAGGGAGAGGAACCCTTGTGTGTGACTAGGGGTCGGAGTACACGGCACATGTGCTGTGAGCGCTGATTTGAAGGGAAAACGAAAACAAGAGAAAAAGCAGCCGATACGGCGGGTGCTCAGTACGGGTCTTTGTGTGGTATGAGTCCCATGCTTGAATACTCTTATCTGTAGAGGAGCGGCATTATTTGTCACCTAGGCGTGCCCGCACGCTCCGATCTGCCTTTGGAACTATGTTACTGAGCTGTCGAAGGCTGTAGCTGCGGTCCATAGCGTCGGCAATTCTGATTGCACTACACTCGTCTTCCACGGCTGCACTCACTGTCAAAGATCCAATCTCCTGAATAGTACTTTGAAGTAGTGTAGCAGTTATTGTAGCTGCTGATCCATTCTCCTGAAGAACAGGTGTGCAGCAATATTGCAGCTCATACCGCTGTAGCTATCTTGAATTACCCGCAGTTCAGGGGACTGAGGCTCGTGGTGGCAAGCACGACCGTGAGGCATGTTTGGCTTGGATCCAGAATTTCAGAGTTTTTTTACCTAATGGCATGCCTTCAATATCACAGCCCCAGTAGCAAGTCTGAGCGTGCCGGCACGCACGTCGCCTTAATGCCATGATGGATGAAGTACTGCAGTACCAGTATTTCAGGGGAGAACTACTCATGGCGGAAGATCGTGATCAATCTCTCGGTCCCAACTCATCTTGGAAATTTGCCGCCCTGGTCAGCGTCCCCTCAAATATCGTACATCGCATGTAATTGCGTTTCCGCACCGGGGTCAACGAGCTCGCATCGGGGTGAGATAAACACACCTCTTCCATATCAAATTCCGAGATGCACTGGGAAATGCTCTGGGACCCGCGTTCGGGTGTCAACCCCGTCACGCGCAAGCAATACATTGAACACAGCGTAGTAGAAGCCACGTGACCGCACGTGATTCCTTGTCATCGGTCCCCCACATTCATAAAACAAAAATTTGTAGTCGCAGAGGCTTGCGAGTTGTACTCCGTGGCAATATTTAGAGTTTCCAGAAGTATCCCCTTAACCAACGAATTTCAGCAATATCTGTTGATTCATTTCCAGCTGTTCTGACGATGGGCGCATAAACACACCTCGTGGCTTCAATGAAAGCGTTTTGCACCTTAAAAAAACTGCGATGGCAGCAACTAAGAACCTTCGACAAGATGTGATCGCCCAATAACAAGCGCATCCCGACCAATGCCCTTGATCGCCAGGAAAGGCCTCCTCTGATTCTCAACGGCGCGACTAGGGCACCATGGTGTACACGATAACCCTGACGAACCCGCTCGCCAGCGGCCACGACGGCAGCTGGGAGTTCGACTTGCTCATGGAATGCGTGGTCGGGACTCTCCCGGCAGATTCCTCGCCATCACCGCAGGGCAACGGACCAGTTCCGAACCAGATTGTTGAGGCTGTAGCAGACAGCAGTGATGGCGATTGTGGTGGTAGCGATCATGACACCGATGGCGGTATTGGCGGGCCCACTGGGAAAAGCGGTGGCGGGGCAGGGGAGTCGGGTGTCGAGGGAGATTCCCCGCAGCCACCGCCTTCCATCGACGGCGGCGGCAAGAAGGATTTAGTTGTGAGCGATGGTGAGGTCGTGAGCGATGATGAGGTCGTGAGTGACGATGACGTGGTGAGTGACGATGACGTCGTGAGTGACGATGATGTCGTCAGCGACGATGACGTCGTGAGTGACGATGATGTCGTCAGCGACGATGACAACGATTCAGAAGGCTTCATGAAGAAGCGGGAGGCTCAAAGCGCCCCGCAGCAGCAGGCGCGCCAGCAGCAGCACCCCGAGGCCGACGTGGGCGGCGGTGATGGTACCGTTGGGGTAGCGTTGGAGAACGATGGAGCAATGGATGTATCTGAGGACAATTCGAAAGACGGCAACGACAAAAATGTTGGTGATGGTTGTCACCCTCTCGCTGAAAGCACGAAGCCCGCGGCGGTCGCGACTCGGTCGACTGACGGTGGTGATGCTGTCACTAATAACAGCAAGAGAGCGGTCGAGGGGACGGAGAAACGGAAAGGGGATGGAGGCACACCGGTTCCCTCGTCTCAGCAAATGGGCAGTTCTGGATCTACTTCTGCATCGAAAGACACCCAGGAAGCAGCAGCAATGGCAACAGCAACAGCTAACAAGCGGGCTGAAGCAGAGACGCAGCAGCAGCAGCAGCAGCAGGTGCGGTCGCCGTCCTTGCTGCCTAGCGAAGAAGCAGACTCTAATCAAGACGAGACGATCGAGATGGCCGTCTCTAATCGCGGGGTGCAGCCGCCCGTGCCTGCCATCATGCCAACACCAGGGCTGGACCTTGCCCTCCACGGAGGAGAGCGCCCGTTGGCGACGACGCCTGCGCCGAGATCCCCGACTGCTGTTTCCGTTCGATCTTCAGTCGGCAGTATCATATCGCTGGATTCGATCGGGAACGATAGTGACAATGTGGTCGGTGGTTCGGGGGAGGACTCGTGGAGCGACAGTGACGGGGATACGGAGGACGATGACAGTGACGATTACGAGCCGGATATTCTCCCGCCGCCGTGCCACATGTTGCACCGCCACCGCAAGACATACAAGAATGCGCTATGCGAAGATTGCTACATAGAACACGTGCGTATTTGTCTATGTTCGGCGTATCTTGGCTGTCCGTCTCCATGTCTCCATACCGCGCCAATGCTTTGTTTTTATATTTTAGCGCGATCGGTATCACATTTTTCTAAGGTATGTAAGCGTTTTCAGCGACGGTGCATGTCAAATGTTGTTCGCGCACGGGGTACCCGGACGCAAAACTTATTCCCCGCGGGGCCCCTTTGCTTTCTTTGGGAATTAGGCTACGTTTGTTACATTTTTCGATGCAGCATTTCGTGTTTTGCTCGATATGATATGCAACATTATGATATGATATATAACACTACTTGCATTTTTCGAAACACGGCCATCCATGCGTAGGCGCATGGGGCAGGGTGGCAACTGCGGGACAATTTTACACCCGTGAGCGTGATGTGTTCAAGAATCACGTCAGGACCAAGAGAGCAACTTGCTGTTTTTACCTATTGAGGAATCCAGGCTCTACTTAGTTCGCAAGCTACCCTCTTTGTAAGCTGAGCAAAAGTCTTTCTCATATATCGTGCCCCGCGCTAACAATAACAATTACGACCTTCACAGGCCGAAGCCCTGCGAAAGGCGAAGCTAGACGTATCGGAATTGGACTCTGACGCTGCAGGACGCAATGAAAACGCCACACGGCAACGCCGGCGAAAGAGGGAGAAGGCGCACGGCAGCAGCGGCACAGGGGTCGGCGGAAAGCGGTCGCAGGAAACGCGTGATTCGAGCAGCGAGAGCACCGGTAGCTCCAGCGGCGACCGCAAGAAGAGACGCAGAGTGGTGGGGGAGGTGAAGTCCGCTCTCCCTGACTCCGCTCCCTCGCCAGGGCGGCGGCTCGTGAAACCTCACCAGAAGGCCAAGAAGCCCATGACCGGCGGAGACGACAGGAAGTCAGCAGCCACTAGATTGTTGGAGGACACATCCTCCAGCGAAGGCGACGGCAGCGGTGATGACGAGAGGGATGTTGTGGTGCACAGCAACAAGGGCAAGAACAAGAGACTGGCTGAGAGCGTTCAAGACAACCAGAGGGCAAACGCCCCTCCCGGAAAACAAAAGCAAGTCAGCAACGGCGCAGGCAGGGGAGGGAATGGGGATTTGCTGGGCGCGCTTATTGAGAACCCTGCTCATGCGCGGAGGAGAACGAGTTCTTCCGCGACATCATCGGCGGTCGCTCGGCAACCCAAAAGCCCGCATCTCGTCAAGCAGCGTTCGGCAGATGCTGTGCGCATTGGCGGATCGGTCACTGGCTCTGACGGAGGCTCCCACCCTCAGATAGCGCGAGCGGTGTCGCTTGACACTGCTACCTCCTTGTCTTTGACACAGTACAAGACGGGTGGGGCTCGAAGAACAGATGCACCTGAAAGTATCCCGACATCATCGTCGTCGTACAAAATTCCGATGAAGGCTTCGAACGGCGTCAAGGCAGCAGGAGGTGCGCCAATGGGCGTGTTGAATAAGAAGCGTGACCCAGACGTCCGGCAGCGCTCGAAGCCCCCGGTTCGTGAACACAGTAGCGGCACCAACAGCAACAGTATCAACACCAGCAGTGCAGCGAAGGAGGCACCCGCGCCCGTACCGGCAGTGTCGAGTAGGATGAAGGCGCAGTATGACAAGGTGCCCAACTTGGAAGGAGTCCGGCGCAAGAAATCCAATGGAAAATTCTTCATATGGGTTGGTGACCAGCCGCTCGACGGGATAGAATACCCAAGGTGAGACAAACCGCCACGGATCACGAGGTTCTAGCCGTTTGTCCCCTCGCGTTGTTGTTGTCAACCACATGCGTGTTCTCACGAATTGTTACGCCGGAAGGATGGTTGGCGGCAGTCTTGAGGGCGGCAGCCTGGTGGGATATTTTTCGGGCCTCCTCACCCAGTTTCGCAGGTTCGCCGAGCTTTGTATAGCGTGTGATTACCCACTGTTTTGTGTGCATTGATGCGGTTGTTGTACACCAATCGAAACGGTGCAGACGAGCCGAGAGGAACTGAAGCGGCGGGCAACGGTTTAGACCGCTGAAGGCAATCACTACCCTCGGCCGCTGCCACATCCGGATAATCTTTATGCCCAACGTTTTATGCGGCGGACTCCGGACGGATATACGGATTGCCGCAGGATGAGAGCATGTGCCTTAGTTCACTCTTTTTTGCTGTGGCCGCATGTCCCTCTCTCTCCGTTTGTGTAACTTGTGTGTGATATCTGCTCCTGAAACAGCGCCGAGGAATGTGCCAAAGCGTACCACCAGCTTCACCCTCCAAGCTCTTCTCGGGGACCCCAAAAACCGTGAGTGTGTGACGGTTGCGCGAAATAAGTTTTTGCAGTTTTGGCCGCACATCGAGACAGCCATGAATGGTTTGCCGCCTTCGATATCGACTTCGTATTGCATTTAGGGCGTGGATTGGATGAATTTCAGCGCACTAGAAGAAGAAGAAGTTTGAAGTGTCACACGACCAGGTCCCCGTTCACCTTTAACACGCGTTACCCGTAAAGCTTCGCGTCAGTTCACGTTACTCCTGCTGCATGAAAATGTGCCGATTGTCTTGACCCTGGTGTCCATCGTGCATGCCCCTCCCAAACCAACTCATTCGAGGCAGGTCTAAGCTGAATGCCAGCGGCGGAAAGGCACCAACACACGTCGAGAGCCAAGGCCTTACGCCTCTCTTTCCTGAGCGAGGGTCGCGTATCGCAAAGGGGACATATAAGTCTGGGTACAACAAGCTTCCATTTTTTGCGCCGAAAGAGGCACGTAATCGGGCGTTAGGAAAGAAGCCTCCTGCGGCAGCGCGAGAACAGAAGGCCAAGGAATCAGCAGCGGATAGACGACGGGCTCCAAGCACGCCGGCACCTCGGAAACATCAACATGGGGCGGCAGCAGCGTTGGCGTTGATCGGCACGCCAAACTCTGGGCATCCGGGCAGGCCCAATGGGAAGCGCGAGCCCCTTCCGCTCGTTGCTGGCTTTGACAAACCGTGGAAGTCCAAGATTCGCTGGTCGTCGCCGATAAAGAATGACGAGGACCTGAACGGTAGGCGCAAGCTCCCGCCTGCATCAGCACTTCCGGGCCGGTCGGGGTTACGAGGAGGACGTGCAGGAAGGCCGGTGCCCGACACGCGACAAGGCTGCGCACAGACCGGTCTTTCCGGTGAGTTTTCGTCGAGCGAGGAGGACTTGCAGGATCAGGAGACAGGAGAGGCTGCAACTAAGGGATCCGAACTGGCGCGGCTGTCTGCCGCCGAAGCAGGAGCGCCGGCGAATGGGTCCCCTCTCGAACGGTTGCCGGACTCCGGTGCCAGTTCCGAGAACAATGAGCTCGGGAAGATTCGCGTCCCGCAACAAGGGGCCGTGGTGCCGACGGCGACAGCAGTCTCGCCTGCCTCGGTTTCAGCAGGACCTCCTAGCCTGCCTGATGGTGGACGGGATCGTGAGCCCGGTGAAACTTCAAAAGCGCCATCTGGCCGTTGTGCATCAGGAAGCAGCAATCCTGAAGAACTTGACGATGCAGACACAGCAACGCCCTCTTGCGATCATCGTGTTCGGAACCGTCAACGCAACGCGGCGGCTGAAAATGCACAGGGAGGATCGCCTAGTTTGCAGTCCGCGGAGTGTGTTGAGGAGAACCTGGACGAGGAACAAGGGAGGGAGCTGATGATGAGTATGATGGCGGGCGGACCTGGGGAACGAGGGCAGATGCCGACAACGAACATGGTGGCCGGCGGCCCTGTCTCGGAAGAGGATGAGGCGGATCTTGGGGGCGAAGAAGAGCAAGGGAGGGAGCTGATTATCAGAATGTTTTCCAGCGGCGACCCTGCGGCGGTATCTCCCCCGACGGAAGTACAGGATTCGGTTCCCCCTTCGCCCCAGACCCCTCAATCTGACCACGATGGCCACATTAGTAGCAGCAGCGGTGAAAATGGGGGTGATGAAGCGACGCCTTTTGCAGAGGAACTTCCACCTCCCGTCACTACGGTCGCTTGGAGGACCCCGAAGAAGACTGTAGTGGGTGGCGGCGGCGGCGGCGGCGGTACCTGCAACAGCCCATCTTGTGATTCAGACCGCCTCACCGCCAGCGTTGCCACAACAGCGCACAAACCTAAGTTGTCATTGAGGAGCTTTACCAGGTTTTCAGACAGTGGTGCTGCCCCCGCTGCACCTGTGGCTGCAGTCACGGCGCCGTTTCCTATTTCGTACGAACGACCGCCACAACTTTCGATCGACAACGATACACATGGTCAACTCTTGGCGGACGCTCCCACTGTGCCCTTGCCGCCGAACCCGCCACGTGCTTCCAATGGCACAGTCCGACAAGTCGTTTGGCGAAATCCTCGGCAGACGGCAGCGGTTTCATCGAGTTATCCGGAGGCACAGCAGGACAACGAAGTACCGCATTCAGCTTGCCAGCCCGATCTTCCTCCGGAGGTTGCTGTGCGGCCAGGAGCAGACGCCATGCACCCCCCAGCGGTTCCGGCCGTATCGGTGGAGACGCCGCCAATTCCATGGCGAACTCCAGGCCGTTCGGGCGCTGTTGGAAGCCGTTTGGACAACGTCTCATGTTGTTCCGTGTCTCAGGAGGCAAGACGGCACGAGGAGTTGCAGGCCGCGTCGTCTTCTCCCCTTTTGTCTTCATCGTCACGTGTCGACGTGGAATCCAATCGTAGCGACGAGCAGGCCAAGCCACTGGACCGAGGAATCCGTGTCCTGCCACCTTTTGGCTGGTGCCGGCAGCCCAACGAGAGGCACAGCATCCCTCCGAACCAGCTCGAAACCCTACCAAGCAATGCCTCGCGTCCGACGGCCGCGAGCGAGGGGGTGGCGATGCGCCAGCGTCGGGAGGGAGATCATCGACCGAATGGGCGCCGGCCGTCGGTGAGCAGGGAGCACGCCAGTCGCGCCGATGAGGGACTATCGAGGAGCACGAGCTCTAGGTCAAACCCCCGGGAGAGAAGCAGCAGCAGCAGCAGCAGAAGTAGCAACTCCAGGCAGCGGAGACCTGATCGCACCGCCAGAGAGGAATATCGTAGTCACCGTGATGGTCGCAGCCGATGGGACGAGCGTGACGGGTACGACCACGGAAATCAGGGTTCTTCGCGCACGAGCAGCAGCCGGTATACGGGCGTGGGCGGACGCATGGTGGGGTACCACGGCGCCGATAGCGTTGACCTCCGTGACGACGTTAATCGTCATGCCAGGGGTGGAAGATATATGGGCGGTGGTGTTAGCGGCGGCCGTGGCTACGGCCACAACAGGAACGGCCCCAACAGGGACCCGTTCGGCAGGGACGATAGGAATGAGGGAAGAGGCGACGGCCCTGGCTTCAACACCTACCGGGGGAGCAACTGGGGTGGTGACGATGGTTGTGGTCGGGGACGCGGTCGTGATCATGGCTCGGTAGACTGGAGACATGGGCGCGATCATCACAGATCAGAGAGCCGTCATGGGCGCTCGAGGTCACCTCAACGGTGAGTATGGGGACGGGGATCCGGTGCTATGTTCCGATGGAAGCTTCGATTCGACATAGGTTGGATTGTTCCTGTCCACTATCTGAGATACCAAAGACGTCTTCCTGTAGTCCGTTTTGGGTTGTCGTTTCGATCTCCCCTGCTTTGTCGTTGCGTGCGTCTAATCCGTTGCGCCTCGCTCCGTGTTTTTGTTGTTTCCTGCATTCGTTTGCACAGGCATAGATGGACCTGATAGGTTCAGAACCCAAGTTGTTCGGTTGCTTGGTTATTTTTTTCAACGGCGCGCAGCACTACCATCCCTGATGTAGGGGCTGCGGAACGGTGCTCTGTCATCGCACTTGCCAACGAGGAGGAAATCGAGACGATCTCTTTAGGTTTCTTGTTGGGCATACTGTGTGTTTGCTGCTGTCATTGTGTTGGGTGTCGATTTCCCGTAGATGGCAAGAATGGATGTAGACTGGTTCGTAGCGGTCCTGGCCAACCTTCACAGTTCATCGAGTACAAATGATGGCGTATAGAGGTTTTGCGTGGGTTTTCGTGTTTGTACGCGTTGCCGTTCCTTGTCGTTTTTCCTACTACTTTAATACTACTCCTGTGGGTATGTAGTCTACTGTTGTTTGGATATTGTTGCTGATTTTGAGATTTTCTTACGGGATCGTTTGATCCGACCGAAAAATACAGCAGTAATAACGTTCGTTGCATACATACAGAATGATGGGGTGTCTTGGATTATATCATTTATATATATTTGTTCACGTGGGATTGATCATGTTCCATGAGGAATGAATGCAGTGTTGGTCGGTTCAGATTACTGCTGTGATGATCATCCATAATATATGTTTTCACTTGCAGGCTACCCCTTGTGCTTCACGATCTGCACGTGTTAGTTATAGGATCACGAGGTACCACGTCTCGTCCTCCTTCTGGTGTGTAAGTGTGAACATCTATCTCGAATAGGCTGAAAGAAAGCTTGAAAAAAAGGTTCAACTACGCAAGGTTCAACTACGACTCAAGGGGAACGGGATGTGCTCAAGTTCTTGGTGCGAAACTTTCGTGACGCCCGCAGGAGGTGGGACTCGCAGGGTTGCCTTGTAACCTGGACACTTGGACCCTTTTTGTGTGCATCGAAGATGCAATGAGAAACAAGCGTACAACTCGCGCAAGACTTACACACTACATATATAAATCTTCTGCTCGAAGCTCATAAGCTTGGGCGTGTGCTCTGGATACTGCCGTGTCTACCGTATATGACACAAGATAACACACCCCCTGGACCGATTTTCAAAGCTCGATTACTCCACGACGAAGGTGATACTACTGTACATAAACGAAATGATACATTTTCGAAAAGCTCTCGACGAGACGGTTTCAATGCCACCGTTTTCGGCGCTGTGACTGTGTTCCTGGAGTTGAGAAATCGAGCTTCGAATATCGGTCGAGGGGGTGTGTTATCTTGTGTCATATACGGTATGTTCAACAAGGTCATTCGTGTGACGCGTTCAGCAGTAGACCCAGAACGTTCGAAAGTCGCAATTGCTCGCCGTTGGCATTGCATCTCGCTTGCGTGTGTTTCATTCTCACATACTTTCGACCTTGCCCGTGGAGGGCCATTTGTGCGCCCGGACTCTTTCGTTCACTTTGGTTGGGCATGACTACTCCTGTACATGTTATTCTACAGAACGGCAGCAGCAGTAACAGCTACTCTAGAGCAATTTATCCTCACTTTTTTGCGCGACCTCGGGGTTGCCAAGGCAGCTGCTCTATCTTCTTGTGCTGCGCTCACTCGGTGGTGTTTTTACCGACAGACACACGCATTATTGCGCCACTGACAAATAGTCTCTACTACACCACGACACTGGAGGAGTCTACTGCCATGTGTACTTTTTTTTTTTGCGACAATGTAATCTACATTTCGGTTCGGGTTCCGGTCGACGTCGCTCAACGTTCATTACAAAGACTTCAACACACCCCCGTAGAGGCCGTCTTGAGCGGGAAACGCTCTCTATTTAGCTACCGCGAGAACTATCCATTATAGCTCCCTTGACAAATATATCTAGACTGTACGGCTCACAAAAAAAATTAAGGTGGGGATGATAGACCCCCAACCCCCCATCCATGTTTTTTTTTTTGGTTGAGAGGGAATGTACACGTTGCCTCCAACGCACAGACGAATGACTGAGCTGCTGCTGAACATGTCGCTGGATCAGATCGGCAGCCGTGGCGGGGGTGGTGGTGGCTTTCGAGGAGGGGCGCGCGTGAGGGAAGGCGGAGGGATGAGGAGCGAGGTCGTTTCTCGGCCGCAGTCCCAGGTCTCGCGGCCGCAGTCTTCTGTGGCCGGCAATTTCGCTGCCCGCGCTCTTTCTTCTGGTTCAGGCCCGATGCGCAGGCAGGGGATTTCCCGTGCCGCGAGAGAGACGGCGGCGCCTTACCAGCGACCCACACGCCCTTCGGACGGCGTGCATTCTCGCCTTGGTGAGCAGGCTTTGACCGCGCTTGATCTTGTTGGTGCACACAACCAGAGGGGCATTTTTGCCACATCAGATACAAGCAAGCAGGCATTTTTGGCACAAAAGGATCGGGGGGTCGACGGGTTGGTGTCGGGGGTAGCTGCTGCTGTTTCGGCCCGTTGATGCTCTTTGTTGTTGCTTTGTGCGTGTGTGTGCGAATAGTGGCACGCCGTGCCTTCGCATCATGTCCAGTAGGCGCTGTGTTGCTTCGTTGCCTTTTTTTTTTCTCCCGCCAACCCGCCTCCCCAGCTGCAGCTGACCCGCGCGCGGACCAAACAAAAGCACACGGTTCTCTCAAAAGCTATGCATAGCTGGAATACCGGTAGTGTAGGGCGTTCGGTCTCTTGCGTAGCCGCCATCTTTGCCGTCGTAGGGTACCACGCTGTCTACTCGCCCTATGCTGGCTGATTTGGGTCATTTGAAGAGGGTGGGTCCAAAACAAGGTTTAGCGGCAGTTCCCCTCTCTAATTTTTCGATATCGGAGGTACCTCTGTACGGATTTTATCGCAGGTGTACTGCTGTGGGCTACACTCCCTGCTTTAGTCGATTTTGGCGAACGCATGTATGTACTTGCGTTCAGAGTGCTTCACATCGAGTATTTGGCGACTTTTGCTGGCCGACCATGAGCCGTCTTAGTGGAGATGAGAAATTCTAGCCATGACTCACCCGATTGGTTCTCTAAGGCAGGAGGTCCCTGTTGAGTGCCGGACTCTTGTATGTGCCCAGAGAATTCACCGGCGCTAAACCTCACACAGCACTAGTCTTGAAAAGTAGAAACGACTTGGTAATTCAATGTGTTCCCGCCAACCACCGGCAATAAACAGGGACCAATACCAGTATCACATGGCTGATGGCCACAGGCATTTTGGTTAACTTTCCGAGGAGTGGTGACAGCAGTAGTTAATCGCAGATCGCCTCACGAGCTTGCGAAATAACGCCTTGGAAGCAAGAGCACAAAGATGACTCTCAGTTGCGATGGCACAGCACTTTCAAGTTGGGCCAGAATCAAGGCATATCACTTGTATTCGTTTAGAGCGCGTTGGCAGTTGTAGGGGCCAGGTTGTGCGTGAAGGTCAGATAGAGCCCACAGCAGCAAATACATACGGTTGTGGTGATGGTGAACTCTGGTCTTCGCAAGGAGGGTTTGCATTCGCACTATGTCGTCCACTGCTGTACATGCTTGCGAAGAAATGTTATCCTGCAGCAGTATTGTATGGACGTTCCCAGTTTTCCGGCCGTTGCTAAGGTCAAGAGAAAACGCCGGGTTTTTTTATCCTACATGAGGCACTCGGTACTCACAGAATATGAGACCACCTATAGAAGGGAGCTATGCGTGTAACTATCAAGGGTTTCAGATGTCAAGTCACCAAGCGACTGCCCTGATACACTCAACTGCTGTACGTACCAAGATGACAGCCACGAGCGTTGGCGATCACTTGAGCCGCCAGGGCAATGTTGACAACGAAACTCTGCAGCCACCCAAGGGAGGCGGTGTGGTTGGTCGGCCATTCGAGAGTGCATTTGGCGTGCTTGAACTCACAGCAGTTATTATTGTTGGCCGTGCCGGGCTTCGATGGGGTGGGGGGGGGGGGGG